GTTCCAAGATATGTCATATGTCAATGTGCACTTGTTCTTTATTTACTAAATATGCATTGCATTTTTTCTGAATTTTTTTGTATTTGCCGATAAAATTACTTGTATTGCTAAAATATCAACATGATTTATTTTATATGATGTATTTATATTGATAGTGCATTTTTTGTAGTTTTGATGGAACCATTAAAGTATTTTTATTAACGCAGAAGATAATCTTTCAAGTGTTGTTCATATGGAGAGAAATGCAACTGGTAAGCTTCATTTAAAAAATATATTCATATTGATTAATATTATTTTCATTTTACATAGACAATTGCTTTTATTATAAATGTATTTGTTTATAGATATGTTCATGAATGTATTTGTTTGATAGTTTAAAAAAATTCGTTAAATATATTCGTGAATATGCTCGATGTAATCGTTTGTTAGGAAGCTCGATAAAGCTCGTTTGTTAAGTTAATGAACATCTAAAAGTAGAGCTCATTTATAGCTTGTTCATGCTTGTTTGTTTAAAGCTCCATAAGCACTAAACAAATCGAACATGAATTGCACATGAACCAAACATGAATACTCATTAATTTAAATGAACCAAACATGAACACAAATAATAAAGCTTGAACAAACATGAACCTAACTTGAACAAGCTGATATTAAATAAACATAAATATGAACACTCACATACTCAGCTTGGCTCGATTCATTTGCAACCCTATCTATATGATCAAAATATTCCTAGTTTTGATAGATGTATGATTTTACATATAATGAACGTGTATACAAAGTTTTGATAGAGATAATAAATACATTACTAAAGAAAAAATATGCATTTTAATGAATAATTGTTCTATCTTAAAAATGTTTTGCAACTTTGTAATATGATATTGATTTGATTAGAAAAGTAATTTTATTTTGTGTGCATGCCTTCCTAATATGATTAGTAAATACATGCAATACATAAATAAGGGTATATCTTATCATTTGTTGGTGTTAATGTGAGTGTTATGAACCTTGATTTTTGCCTTGAATAAGATGTTGAAGATCAATGGTTTATGATTTTGATGATAGCAAACATTTTTATTTCTCTACGACTACCTTATGTACTGACATTTCAGGTTCACACGATCGGACTGCAATTTGGAATCAGCTAAAGATTGGGTAGACTAGGTCTGAGTCAGTTTGTACACTTTTTCCTTTCTTGAGTCTATTGTATTTGTTGTGGCTCCTGATGCTTTGTAACGTATAAGAGTTTCTGACTGTTCCCTAGAGTTTACTATTTTTAGTAACATCATTCTGGATGATATTTATATCGGCCGGGACGATCTGTTCAAAAGCAGAAACCCTAATTAGGGCATCCTCATTAAAACAGCCGTCATTATGCAAAACACATCGTCCTGGACGATTTTATATCGGCCAGGACGATAGGCTCAATTCAGAAAGAATTTGCCGCCGGATCTACTTAGGAAATACTTATTTTTGGATATCAGCCTGGTGGATCGGCCTGGACTATAAAATATCGGCCAGGGCGATCCAGGACAATTTTTCCAAAATTTCTCTGGCAATTTTGGAAAGCAATTAATGGTGATTTCGTCCGGGCCGACGCAACATCGTTCGGGCTGATTAGACATCGGCCAGCTTCATTTCAGGGCGATATTCAAAACGATTTTCCTCGTATTTGAACTAATCGACTAGGAGGATATGTATATCTTCCTGAACGATAAAGTTGGCAACTTGCATTAATGAGCTCGTTTTTAGCTCTTCTATTTAAGCTATGACAAGGCACTTTGTAAGTGTCTTTGACAGCCATTGTAGCTTCGTTCTTGTGGGGGAGACTTAAAGAGAGAGCTTGAAAGGGAGTGAGGAACGAGTGAAGTCTGAGAAGGATAAGATCCTGTGAGGGGGGACTTAAGGGAGTGTGAAGGGGATTCCACACGGTTGCTCCGACAGGCTTGCATCTTAATACCGTCGGATTCAAGGCTTGTCTCGAGGGAAGTTCACCAAAGAAGAAGATCTCTTTGGTGTCAAAGGACTTGGGGACTCCGCAGCACCGGGGAAGATGAAAGTGATTTTGTAAGAGCTTCTCCGCCTAGCTGTGGGGGCTAAAGGAGAGACACTTGTTTAGTGCAATATTTGGAGGGTGCCTCCAAGGAGTGGACATAGGTCAAGGTTTGACTGAACCACTATAAATCTAGTGTGTTCTTTTCTTATTATTGCTTCCGCATTATTTTCTTCCGCATTTTGATTTCTGTGGTGATTTTGGTTTGAGTTTTATCTTTGGTTTTAAAGTTATCCAATTCATCTCTTTCTTTGTTAGCCTTGGGCCAGTTCTATATGGCTTAACATCCCTAACGAACTTTCTAGTGCCATCAGAGCACTTTCATAAGAGAAACAAAAGATCCATCCTTTTGAGGAGTTTTAATGTGAGTGACAATTCTTGAAAATGTCATATATAGAGATCATTTGATAATTCAATTAATATCTTGAGATTTTCTAAAAGTACTTGAGCCTTGATTTGGGCTCATTTTGGTTTTGATTTGATTATTTTTTCGTGTTATTTGATTCGTCTCATCAAGGCATCAAATTCGATTATAAGTTTGCTAAAATTAGAGTTTGGATGATTCATAATTTTATTTTGAAAGTTTTTAATTCAAGTATGCCTCCAAATTTGTAGTCAATCAAGATGATTTTTGGTGACAGATCAAAATTAAAGATGAAAATAATAAAAATTAGTTTAGATTTTTATTAAAACTAATGTAATATGAGTTGTAACACCTCCATATTCAATATAAGTTTAACTTATTTTGACCTGGCCCGATCTAAGGTAACCTATTATATTTCAGCATTTGAACCATTATGCATGTGCTTAGGAATGTTCTTTGTGCGTGTGAGACTCTAGATACATACTAAAGTAGGTTCTAAGGGTTTATTAGTATGTTTGTGAAATCTTGGGTTGGAAGCGCTCTGGTATAAGTGCACTCGGGTTTTTAGCAATTAATTAGATACTTCGGTGCATGACTCTGTATGAAGACACGGAGGTTCATGAAAGGGGCTTCGTGGCCAGGCAACATGACTCCAATGCAAATTTTAATATTTTAAATATCCCAAAGGACTTTTCATTCATTTCCTTTTCTCTTAAGCAGCCGACCCAGTGAGAGAGAGAGGAGGATTCTAGTGAGAGAAAGTCCCATTTGGGCCGCTTAAGGTCATTTTGAGTTGACGATTCAGTTCTGAAAGTTATTTAATTGGATCGAGGTAGGTCACATTTTATCCATCTCAGTTTTCAAAAATATGATTTTCCAATTTTTTGATTTATTTTTGTTTACATAACAAAAAAATGAGAATAACATTGCATCGAAAAAATTTTCATCGTGTAACTTTTTTAATGTTGTGGAGACCTAAATTCTAAATATTTATATATTTTTAGAGAAATTTTACATTGGGGATTTTGGGAATTATGTTATTTTAATTGAAAAAAAAAATTGGAAGAAAATTTCTGAGATATTTTCAAAGTTAGATCTTGGAGTTTGTATGTTCCAAGCCAACCAAAAAAGACCTATCCGGTCTGAGGATCTTATCTGGTTGGGTTGTAACATGAGTAATATAATATGTTAGATTGTGTCAGGCTCATCCTGTCTCATAATTTAGAATTTTAGACAGAGATGCAATACTAAAGAGGTGATTATATTTAAATAATACAAATAAATTATATCACATGTCTAAATAAATGCTAGATTTCCAAATATCTAAATATTGTTAATTAATTGTTATCTAAGTGCTTGGATAATACTTAGAGATTTTTGAGGAAGAATTCTCTTGAGTGAACTATTTCCCTTGATGAGATGAACAATGAGTTCTTTGGTGAGTTTTTCAAAGTGAGCCTGAAGCTTTAAGCAACTTGATGATTTTAATAAACAAAATTTATAGATGAATATGGTCTTTAAACTAGCGACTTCAACTTAAAAAATAAGTTCATTTGACAACTTAGGTTTCGTTCGGGATGACTTTCTTATTGCTTCTTTAAGCAGCTTTCTAGTTAAAAAAAAATGAAAAAGTTGATTTAAGAAGCAATAAAAAAGCCGTTCAAACGAAACCTTAGATGCCTATGATCAAAGCTTTTAAAACCGGACCGGACCGGTCGGTTCAACCGGTTGAACCGCGAACCGGCTGGCCGGCCGGTTTCGGTTCGCCTGAGAACCGTTTTCACGTCAGACCGGTCTCGGACCGTTCGAACCGCCGGTTCGACCGTTGAACCGGAAAACCGGCTCCGATTTCTCATAACCGTTTTCGCGTCGTCTTCTTGATCGACGGCAGCTGTGCAGCATCTTCGCCGGATTCGGCGGAGGTAGGGGCGGGAACTGGGAAGGGTTTACATTTATGAGTCATTAATTATCTATTAAATCAAAATAATTTTATTATATAATAAAATATTAAGTACTAAGGAAGTGGATCTGAGGTATGCCATTTTTTTGCTTGCTTGTCTCAAACTTTATAATTTTCATCAATTTTTGCTATATATTTATAAATAATTGTGTCATTATTATAATATTTAAATATAAGAAATATTTATTACTTTATCCGGTTCGACCCCTGTCGAACCATCAAACCTCTAACTCCTCCTTCTTCCGGTTCATTGACCGGTCCGGTTTTAAAAGCCTTGCCTATGATAGCTTTTAGTTAATATTATTTTGCCAGTCTAAAGAAATATTTATTAAAAAATTTGTTATAGAAAATAGTAAAAAAGCAGTCCTAATTAAAGCTTTGACGAGCATCTTCTTTGAGTAACCTGAGACATTTGATGAATTATTTCAAGAGTTTTATGATTTGTAGAATCCATTTCATGATGATGAGATGACTTGATAAACTTCATTTATGCCACATTGGGTGTTGGCTAAAAAAAAATCAATTCAGCGCCACACATCCGTGACGGCATTTCGATCGCATATTTTTCCCACGATCACAGCCCCATATCACGATTTCATCGTTATCTGACTTGGCGAAATCACCCTCAAACTCCTATCCTTTCCCTCCCAAAATTTGGCGGCACAAGGCCAAGGCAAAGAAGTAGTAGTGTAAGAGCAAAATAAGAAGGGAATCATTATCATGCCCGAAGACGAAGAACAGCTTCAACATCCCACCAATGGCGACGACACGGCGATCGGCTTCAATCTGCCGGAATCGCTCATCGCCGTTCTTCCCTCCGACCCATTCGAGCAGCTCGACTTGGCTCGGAAGATCACTTCAATCGCCCTTGCCACTCGTCTCGCGAAGCTCGAGGACGAGATTGATGGCCTCAGTCGTACCGTCTCCGATCGGGATGACCTAATCGCCAACCTCCGCGCCCACATTGAGTCCCTCGACTCCACCCTCGGCGAACTTTCTGGCCAACTCAATCGCACCCAAGAGGAGAAGGTCAGGCATGTTTATTTCTCCGTCTTTGAACTTTTCATTTTTGGGTTTTTGGTTTTTCGTCTATTTGTGATTGTGAATTGAGATTATTTCAGGAAACCCTTCTGAAAGAGAACGCTACGCTTTCTGATACCGTCAAGAAGCTGAATCGGGATGTGTCAAAAGTAAGAAGCTTGCTTTGATCTGTTCCGTTATTTTCCAGTCGTGGCTTTGTTGTTTAGAGACTGTTTGGATTCATTATTCACGCTGTATATAGTAAATCTGCTTTTAATAAATCATAAAACTCTAGATTTATTCATAGCTTTTGCATTATGAAATTTGTTTGCCTGTCAATTCTTTCAATCTGTGTTAATCCTGAAAATTGTTGGATGCATGTTAGAAATTCATTTTTAACTTAATTAATAGAATAATTGAGGTGGAATTAAACATAATTTAATAGTTTATATAGATTATTTACTTAACTAATTGATTAATCCAACCAATAAGTAACTACTAAATAATAAAAATGTTTATAAAGGACATAATTCTGCTTTAATTCAACTAATTAAAACTTAAGTGGATTTTAATAATAATAAACTTTAATTAAAAGTATAATTATATTTTAATTTTGCTAAAAAATGCTTGAATAGATTATGGATTAATTAGGCATAGTTAGACTAACTAAATATACATTTATAAGTTAGAAAAGTTACTTGACAAAGGTAATTAATAATTATTTAATTATAAAATTTGTAATTTATGGCATATTATGCTTTAATTAAGGCAATTAGTTATTAAATGTTCTAATTACATACCACACAATTCTTATATATTTACGTATATAACATTTAAATTTTAATATTTGCTTATATAACACATAAATCATATTTCTACAGCGAAATACATTATATATATATATATATATATGTTTTGATGTAATTGAGCGTTACATGAGTAACCATCAAAAGTTAAGGTGTTAGATATGTAAATACATGAACACTATGTAGCATGTATCTAGATCCCCTTAATTAAACCTATATTATTCATTCAATTATAATTTATACATTAAAATTATGGGAGAGAGTAATAGAGCATATATTATGACGTGATGCTAATGTTTTACAAAATCAATTATGGATTCAGCTAGGTAGCGTTATTATGGAGCTATACATTTGTTAAGAGGTTTGATGGAGAAGTACAGAAAGACTAAGGCAGGATTTGCATATGATATCTATTGATTTAGAGAAAGTATAATGATAAAGTCCAAAAGAAATGATGTGGAAGTTCTAGAAATGAAATGAGCTAATAATGCTTATATTCAAGTCATCAAGGATATGTATATTAGGCTTTGTTACTTATTTTCAAACAAAAAATGTGGGTCGACCAAGTATTTTCCTATTTCATTTGGATTACCTCAAGGATTAGCTTTAAGTCCATATCCTTTTGTTTAGTCATGAATGTTTTTATTAAACATTGCATGAGGAGGTACCCTGGTGCATGATGTTTGCTAATAATATTCTCCATGTTGATAAGACTAGAGAGGGAGTTAAAGAAAAACTTGAATTATGGAGGTCAATATTAGAGTTTAAGATTTTTGTTTGAGTAGATATAAAATTGAATATATAGTGTAATTTTAATAGTAATAGATCTAGTAGTGGATGTTGACATTGGAGAATCAAATCATTAAAAAGAGTGCATATTTTAGATATATGAGTGTTGACCTTTATATAAAGAACAAAAAAGAGGAGCATAAATCCCGCATAGTACCAATTCGGCGTCGCTCCATTCGCTTCTCTTCAAATCCTGCATGGTACCAATTCGGCGTCGCTCCATTCGCTTCTCCTCAAATCCTGCATAAATCATGCTATTCAGTCGCCTCGACGTCGCTGCACTCGATTGATAAAAGGGAGATGAGAACGAGCTTTCGGCTCTTTCACAACCACGACTACACAAGCCGCAAAGCCCCTTCACTTCTTAGCCCCCTTTTGCCAACTCCAATAACCCATAACCTCAAACCTATACTCTATTCCACAAGCTCCTATTATATACTGTAATAAATTTGAACTCAAGCACTATGATTTTGATAACAACAAACATTATTATTTCCATACTGCTATTTTCTATTAATTGTTATTATTAAATATCTATTTTGTTATCTTACTCACTAAAATTTTAGGTTTCTTAGTTCACTTGTAATTTTAATCAGTTCAAGATTTTGTAGATTAATTAAGGTTTTTTTTGGACATCATTTAAGGCAAACTCACACACAACGCATACACAAAGACTCGAACCCAAAACCTCTTAGTTGGAAGCATAAGCTCTCAACCAACAAGCCAAGGTGAGCTGTGTAGATTAATTAAGGTTGAGTCTGTTTATAATTTAAATTTAGGGGGATTTACATACATATCACTTTATTTTATGCTATTTATATATCTAACACCTAAAATATTAATATTACATATCTACCACTCATAAAAAAAATTGAGTACATGGAATGAAATATTACAGTTTATAAGATGGTATAAATGGTAGAAATGAATTATGTGAGTGGTATATTTGATATTAAAATTGTATATGGGTGGTAAGAATATAGTACTAATATTTTGTGTGGTATGTATGTAAATTTGCTTAAATTTTAATGTACTTTTATCTTTTGAGTCATACGGTGATATGCTGACGACCTTCTGGTTTTTGGAAATGCTTCTATGCATAATGCTGCTATTTTGTTAAATGCGCTGAATTCCTTTGCTGAAGCCATTGGTCTTTATATTAACAATACCAAATGTTCAATTCTATTCTCCTTCAACTCGCCTCTTGCTGAGGATATCAATCTTTTGATGGGCTTTCTTAGAGCTAATGGCTCTCTTACCTATCTCCACCAAGAAGCTTAATTCTACTCACTTCCTTCCACTACTGAGTAAACTTCTTACTCTACTTGCTGGCTAGAAAAATCACTTTTTGTCTTTTGCAGGGAGACTTCAATTCTTAAAATTTTCAATTGCAAACACGCTTGCATACTGGATTAGAGGTTCTATCATACCAAAAGCTGTTTACAAAATGATTGACAAAATGTGTTCAAGGTTCTTGTTTCACGGGTCCACTGATTTGAAGAAGCTACACCTTATTGCCTGGAATAAAACCTGTCTTCCAAAATGCTTTGGGGGGTTGGGTATTCCTAGCATAGACTCTCTTTACTACGCTGATGCTTGCTCTTTTATCTGGAGACTATATAATCAGGATTCTATGCTTGCTATGTGGATGAGACAAAATTACCAGTCCCCTTGGAAACAGGCGCATTCTAAAGCCTCTAAATTTTGGAAGACAATATGTAAAACTGCTGTAAACATCCAAGATAGTGTTACTTTCTATGTTGGTAGTGAAAATTGCCATCTATCTATGTTTTGGGACCCTTGGTGTCTGGGAAAACCATTAGAAGAGGTTATCTCTCATATATCCCCTTCTCCTGCTGTGGTCAAAGATTTTATAACAAATGGTGTTTGGAATGTTCCTGAGAATTGGGGTTTGGTTGCTGTTAATCATATAAGGAAGGTGCCAATTTTTAATAATCCTTGCCAAGCCATCTCTTGGGCTGGTAATGATAAGGCTTGTTTTAAAACTTTATATTTACATTATTATCGGGATTTACAGCCTGTTGCTTGGTATCCTTATGTTTGGCACAAACGTTATGCACTCCGTTATTCCTCTTTTGCTTGGATGGCTATTTTGGGAGGGCTTAAAACTACTGAAGCTTTGTTTATTAGGAACATTATGGTTGGCAGGGAATGTTCCCTATGCTCTGTTGGGGAAGATAGTATTAGCCATATCTCTCTTCAATGTGATTACACGTTCAAGATTGTTAGACACCTTCTACCTGCTTTGAATGAGTTTTTGCTTATGCCCACTATGATACAATGCTTTGAATTTTTTAATGATTAGGCCGGTATTAGCACTACACAAAATAATTTTTGCTTTCTAGTGCTTTGCTACTCTATCTACCTTATTTGGAGGGAAAGGAATGACAGGCGGTTTGGATCGAATCAGGCTATTGTAAATGCCATCATACAAAAGATTGTGACAGTTGTAAGAGCAAAATCGTTAAAATGAGAAAATGTAGAAAGGTTGAAGCAAGATTTTCCAAGGTGTTTTAGCTCCGGGAGCAGGTCTTGGGAGTAATAAGAATTCAATTTTGTCTTTGGATTCTTATTTGCTCTCACCGGACGATGATGACTGAAATTAGCTTTTATCCTCTCCCTTTGGATGGCCAGCTTATTCTGACTTGCCTGTTTATGCTGTATGGGGCCCTTTTTGGCAACTTGGGGAGTTTTTTGTTTATTGCTCCCTATGGATGGCTGTCTGTTTTCTATTTATTCAACTGGAGGATTTTCTACGATCTGAGGAATTTTCTGGCAACCGGGGAGAGCCTTTGGCTGCTGCTTCTTTGATTTTATTCGGGCTAATGTTGATCCAGATTCTGGAGATTCATTATTGCCCGGTTTGCTGATCTCTTATTATTTCTGAGTCCGATTTGACCTTTTTGATCCTTTTGGATTGATTCTATTTTAGGTGTTGAAATTGTAATTTTTACAGGTTTTGTATTTTCTGTAACTGTTACCATTTAATAGAAGGGCAAAGCCCCAAATTTTCCAAAAAAAAAAGTCATACGATGATACTGCGGATAGGACTGTAGCAGCTAAATCTCTTTATTTGCAATTAGATTTTACACTTGTATAATTTGCAATCTGATGTGCCTTGGTATTAAAAACAGCAACAAACTCCATGGTATTACACAAAAACATATTTTTAATGATAAAAAATCAAATACGAACAAAGCAAGATATAATGATCCTCTTTCGAAAGGACCTTCTCTCTGAAACCCTAGATGTCGTTAGAATCCTTCATAAAAAGAAAACTACAACACTCTCAAATCAAATTCTTCATCCAAACATAATATAAATCCTACTACTTATAGCAAATAATAAACTAACAAATTCCAAAACAGCCCTCCCCCAATTTCCTCTCAAATCAGCCCCCAAATCAACTATCTTTAATTAGAAAATGTAGGAAGATGTGTAGAATGTTCTGTACAGCTAAGTGACAGCTCAGCATCATTAACTAATCATGTGATTAGTTAGAATGTAAACCTATAAATATGTACTAAGTATCAAACTGAGTACATCACAAGAAA